AGAAACATCCCAATAGTAACTGCAAATATCCATTGACGAACATTATCATTTGTTGATAAAACTGCACCAATAAAAAATCCTATTATAGCAGTTGTTGCCGAAAGAAAATTCCATAGAATAGCTCGATAATGTGAAAAACCTGATTGTATCAATACAGCATAATCTCCTAAATAATTATAAGATACTATTTAGATCATGTTTAACAAAATGAGAAATTCGAAATTATAGTTTGTGCCCATGGGCTTAGAATACTGTTTCCAACATATGGACAAAATATCATTGAAAACGACGTAGATCATTGGAGACTCTCTCCAGTCAACAGACACTAGATAATGATCACAAAAAAAACTAAAATTTTGGGTCACGAAAGTGGTGGAATATCCTTAAATAAAATGAACTTACGAAAGAACCTCCTGAAATAGCACTCACCGTGTAAGCTTATATTGGGCCGAACAAGAACGTCTTAGTGGGACTAACGAAAGTCTAAAAGTGTTCGTCCCAGTCGAATTATGATCGTTGTACTGATTTTTTTCGATCCAGCTTTAGGCGTATATTGGAAACACAAAACGCAGAATTTTGCTTATATAGATAGGTCGAATAATTTGTAGAACATCCCTATCTATGAGCAAAATTTTATCTTGAAGTTCCAGTTTTTTAAGCTTTACGGTATCTGTATAAAGCTGAGTCAAAAATTCAATAGAAACCGATCCTAACTTTGACTTCAAACACTCATGAGGACGAACTTTTTTAGATTTCTACTAGTCTCAACAATTTTCGTCATTTAAAAATTCTTACCAAGTTCATGAGGTAATTCATGACAAGCAATTGCTAATGTTGTTGTAATTCCTAATATAAGATCTTGACTAAATGCAGCACCAACAGCAAGACCATCAGCAAAATTATGAATACCATCACCAATTAATACCATCCAACCTGTTGATTTAATTGCTAGAAAAATAAAAATAAAAATAACAATAATAAAACATCAACAAAATCAAATTATTTTCATTTTTCATCTCATGCATCAAAATAAAAAAAGTTAGTAAGATTCGAATAAATACGCAAGCAATTAATTTAAATGAACGAAAAAAAAAAACAACATAGACAAACCATTTTCCATGCCAGGCGTAAGTGCAGAATTCACTGAAATGCATATATGTATAGAAAAGCTCGAGTTGACAAAACAAATTATTCTTTAATCATTTTAATAATAACAAAAAATTCTAATTTAGATTTATTTACTTTTTAATTCTTGAATAACTGGATTTACATTTTTTGTTTCAGGTTTTCCATGTGGATCTATTATAACAACATTTACTGGCATTTGTTCATCAGTATCAGTTGATTCATCTTTTGTTTCATGTCCTACTAAAACAGTTGTTGGTGAACGTATATCACTTGAATATGCACACGGTACACATGTTAAATTTTTATTATTATTCGTTTGACAATTTTGATTTACAATTGATAATGATGATGCTACACTTATTTCATTTGATACATGTTGATGTAAATTATGATGTAAATGATTATGTAAACGATGATCATGTTCTAAATCAGCATCAATATCAATTGGTGTATGTTCACAAATTTCTCCATCTGGATGTGAATGATCATGATGAGGTACTGAATGACTATGACCATGAGCATGAAAATGGACTGAATTCTAAAATAGGAAAACAAAAAAATATCAAAGAAAAAAGGTTTATATATTTTGTTCATACAGCATTTTTATGTTTATAATGAGCAATTGAATGAAGAAGAACTTCCAATAAATAAAAACTATATAGAACTAAAAAAAAAAAAAAAAACTAATATTATTTATTTCTATTCATACTACATACTTAATACACTAAGTAACATTTTCCATACATAATCAGGTACAGAAAATGATCCATGATCATGTTCACCATGATGACCATGCAGACCAAGTGCCTTAATTATAAAATTAAAATTTCATATTGATTTTTTTTATTTTAAATACATACAATAGGAATTAAATGAAACATAGTATCACCAAAAAGTGTTCCAACAGCAAGAGCTGTAAATAGAGTAAGTACATATTGAAAAGATACTTTATATAGAATAGGAAATGTTAATAAACCAACAAGTGATAAAGCCGAGACAATAAATATTGCTAAAAATCCATAACCATATCCTTCAAAAAAAAAAAGAAGAATTCAGTTTATAATAAAATTTTGATTCTATGTAAAATTTACTTTCAAGATTTGTTGTTGGTTTTCTTTTATAAGATGATATTGATGAATTATGACAAGAACTATCAAGAATTTTTTCGAGAAAATCTTTTTTACAATCATGAACAAATTCAGCTTTCGTAAATGATTTCGATTTAATTATTGGAGTTGTACCAGATATTGAACAAAGATTATAAGAAACATTTGATAATAAACACTAGATATATATATATATATACTTGATAAAATAGAAATTGATTTTTTTTAATTACTTACTGATTCAGATGCAACATTATTAATAGATAAAATTAAAAGGAAAGAAAAAAATGGAAAAATTAAATGAATAATATATAAAAAATCCATATCTAAAAATAAAATGATTTCATTTTTTATATAATAATTCACAAATAATTAGTGTGAAAAAATTGTATAAATTTATAGAATATATTTTTCATCGATTTGTATTCTGAAGAAAATATAAAAGTTAATTAAATCTTATTGAAAGTCTTTAAAGATTTCTTTTTGTTTTTTTTTTTATCTCTAAATTAATATTCTACACACCTGTTTCGATGTTCTTTTTTTTTTAACTTTTAATTTTTCGAGATCAGATTACATGTATAGATAAATATACATTTAAATGATAAACTTTAATAATCCTTCTATTTATTCATACTTTCATTGGAAAATTTCCTCAAACAAATACAAATTATTGAAAATCTATTTTCAGAAATCTATTTTATATTATTTCATTCAATAAAATATATAAATAAAATGTTCAATATCTATAAATCTTCTTCAAATAACGTAGAAAAAGAAAGAGAAACAAGATCAATAAGCTAAAAATAGAACTTACTTGTACTCTAAAAGAAGAATACAGTAGACGTACTAAAATCTACACATCTGAGAAACAGAACACAAGCATAAAAAAAAACTAAGAAGTATTCGAAAAAATGACAGAACAAACGACGGAATCAAGACGAAGAAAAAAAAGGAAAAAGAAATCATACTCCTATACATTCGCATCACAAGAGGCTATGAGGGGAAAAAAAAACCTTTGCCGCTACCAGAAAGAAAGAAAAAAGGCCTTCGTTTAGATATAGTAAATGTATTGTTTTTTTTTTGACGAAGCAAATGACGAACAAAGAGAGAAAATATCTCGACGCTCTTCTTCTTTTTCTCTCTCTCTCTCTCTCTCTCTCGTAACCATAATATATTATGTGAACACGCATGCATTACAGAAGAAACGCTCTCTCAGCAAAAGAGAGAGAGGGAGAGAAAAAAATTTTATGCTCGCAACGCATGCACTAGGATAAGAAAAACATCCATCTACAATCCACGTGGAGTCGACGACTATCTACTTTAAGATATTCATCAACATTACAAATATTATTTAAAAAAATTTCTTATATTATAAATCTATCAAAGCATCCGAATAATTAGATTAATTTCTATATCGTAATTATTTGTAATAAGTATTTGTAGAAAATTGTTTAAAAAATTTCCAGAAAAAAGCAAAAACCAATATAAATTTCAATTAGAAAAATTCAATAAAAAAGTTAATCATTCCATTTATTATTTTTATGAATAACAAATTAAAACATTTCTCTAATGATAATATCAGGAAAAAACATAACTAACACTAACAAATTTTAAGATAAAACGTTCTTCAATCATACACACATTTCAACATGTACATCATATTTAAAATACCATTGATTCTATAAAAACAACAACAATATTTGAAACAAAAAAGAATATACATCATTAAAAACCATAAAGACTATTGATAATTCACACTTAACATTTTGTTGAATATTCAATAAATTAGAGTTAAACTTGTCTATCGTAGATATTCTCAGTATAGTTCTCTAATGAATACTTTTGAAAAGTCTGAAAAGTTTATATTGTATAATTAAAATTCTATGTGAAAAAAATGAATTTTTTACTTTATTTGATACATATGTGTTATTATCATTGAACGATCATGATAAATTGATATTTCTTTTTTTTTATAAAATTCAATTATGTACAACTCAATTGATTTTCAAATCATATGTAAAATCAATTTCTTTTTTGTACTTATATAACCAATACTCCTAACGATATTTTTTTTTTTATTTTCAAAAATGTATGTATATAACAGAATGTCTTAAGATTATAATTTGTTCATTGGAAATATTTCATAAGAGATTCTCTCTCTTTTTTTTTGTATTATACAAGTTGAACATTTTACATTAATGTTTAAAAGCAATATACAACTGCCCTTGCTGTTACAACATGCAACTGTGTATGTATGTATGTATGTATGTATATATTGAAGCACGAGAATGTCGTTCGGCGTGTGCACATACACAATCCCTATTGTAAGGAATCAACATTGGTCGACCGATTGGCCGCTTGCTTCTACTTAGTCATAGTGAGACGAGTAAGAAAGAAAGGAAAAAAAAAACCGCGAAACGTTCACTCTCTTCGAGAGAGAATACTACCCTTTTTAGAGCAGTTTAAATGACAACGATAGAACGACCTACCGGTCATTTGATCATTCTTCTTCTTCTTCTTTGTACGATGAACAACATTGCTGCTTTTTTTTTTGTTGTTGTTGTACTATAGAAACGTTCATATGGTAGAAAGAAATAGAACGCTATCGTCTATCTTCGATTTGTAGAGAAAGAAGAAAAGCATATTGTTGACCGACCTGTCTCTCTCTCTCTCTTTTTCTCTGATTTATATTTATTGGCTGTTATTTATTCATTATTAATAATCTGAAATTATTGTACATATGGTTGGTTTTTTTTTCCTTCCTAGATGACACTCTATTTAGTTACAGATGCATTTCGTAAACTTGGGTCACCTGGTATTAAAAATGATGATTTTTATGATCGATTAAGTCGTAAATATTCATTAATTATACTTGGTGTTTCATTTTTAATTGTTAGTTCATCACAATTTGTTGGTAATCCAATTAATTGTTATACACAAAATATTGCTGGTGGTCATGTAAGTTATGTTAATTGGGTTTGTTGGATAAGTTCATCATATTATGTACCATTTGAAAAACCATTACCAACACGTTATGAAGAAAAACCAGAAAAAATGTATATTAAAGAAAATATTTTTGTTTTCTTTAATATTGAATTCTTTTATTCTATTTTTTTCTAGTCCATATTATCAATGGGTACCATTTATATTACTTTGTATGATGTTTCTTTTCTATTTACCTGGTTTTGTATGGCGTAATCTCAATAAATCATGTGGTATTAATACAAAAATTATTGTTAAAATGGTTACTGATATGGATCAATTAGATGGTGAAAAACGAGAAAAAACTATACGATCTTTAGCAAAACATATTGATAAAGCATTAGCTTATCATCGAGAATATGAATATGGGTTAATGTATGTAGAATTTTTTTTTCTTGTGAGAGCATAGCGAGTTACCTAGAAAAAAAATGTAGTGTTTTTTAATGAAAATTAGATTGAAAAAAAGTCTATAAAAATTAAAAGATACCAAAAGCATTAAATTTGCAGTCCAAATTTTGATTTTACTCGTAGTTACAAAAAGTGTCGCACCCAGGTGAAAAGTATTTAAACCTCCATCATGTAGGCTCATATTTTTACCATAAATAGAACTTAGTGAACCATCTGTTGTGAAAGTTTGGTAAAAAAAAACACTTTAAATTAATGGAAATATGCGTTCTTCATATTGAAAATGTCTGCCAAGTGGTTACTGTTAGTTTTTAATCTAATGTCAAATAGCTCAACTTAATCTTGACCGATTCAGTTGAAAATTTTAGCCATGAGCTTAGCACTTCGTGATAAAATTTTCAGAATCATAGCTCAAAAGACCTTATCACGGCACAGTTTGCCAATCAAGGAGATTTCGATATTATTGGATGAGCTTTTGACTCAGTACACTAGACATAGGGGGAACTGCATTTAGTACTAAAAAAAAAATCTTAAATAAATTGTAATGCCATAAAACTACAAACAAAAGTATTCTGACACATTACATTTTTTTGCTTATGGTGTTTGTATACGATTGAGCTATTAATACTGATCGAGGTTGGACTGGTGCTTGCGATCAGATTTTGAGCCTAAATGATTGGAGTTTAAGGCCCCCTCCCCCCGTCGAAATGATCGAAATTGAGATAACCTCATGGGGACATAGCTCGTCATATACTCTTTCATAAATGACAAAAGCTTTTACTCAACACCTCTTTTTTTCCGAAAATTCTAGAAGATTTTTGTCACACCCTATTCGAAAAATAAGCGGTTTTTACAAATAAAACCAAAAATCATTTTTTGTTTTTCTCAGAACGTGGGTTTAACGACGTATCTCCAACAGAACTCTATCACAGTAAGAGATAAAGCCAAATATTTTTTTTTGTTTGAAAGCTTATGTGCAGGGCTAGAGACTCTCATGGGCATTTTTTAAAATAAGCTTTTTTATTATCATAGAAGATAACATTTCTATCGGAGCAGCGCAATTTTTAGAGAGGTTTTTTGAGTCATTGAACTTTCGCTCCGGTTTTTTCCCTAAAAAGTAAGACTTTAAAAAAAGAGCCACGAGAGTCGCTGCATTCTGACATGCTCTTTCAAACAAAAAAAATTAAATGTCTAGAATAAAGACCCACGGAGAAAACTTGGAGATACTAAAGAGCTATTTTTACCCTTTGTTTGGTGCATATCTCGGTTAAACATCGTGCTATAGGGCTGAAAATTTGACCATAGCCATGTCTTACCAGCCCCAACATATCCTGAAATTTTTATGTCATTTGAATGTTCCTGGGCTGAGATCGATTTTTGAGGGGGTGGCCTTAAATACTTTTCACTCCTGGATGCGACACTTTTTATGACTACTATAGTTAGGAAAACAAACGGATGTATGCTTTTTGAAAATCGATTTTTGAAAAATATACCATAAATACAGATTTGTATTCAAAGATTTTGATCATCAGAACTTCAGTTCTAACTGAAACGAATATCATATTGAGAATCAGCGCAAAATTCTACATTAAATAGTATACTCAATATATAAAACTAATTTTTGTGAAATTTGGACTTCAGGAGAGGTACAGGACCAAGATTTTGTTGTTTTGGTGCCGATAACTTCTTTTCTAGTGACATCAGTGATGGTCTCGGTAAATCATATACAATCGTAGAATATTCGACTACAATATTTCTTTCCGGTTGGAACAATTTTTTTCTTCTAGTACCGATCCCGATCTTGGTATCTATTGCCTTTTCCGTGATCCCGCACATCGGTAATAAGAACGAAGAAAATTAATGTTGGCTATACTATTCAATGCAGATTTTAACACTAATTCTCGATATAATATTAGTTTCGTTTAGAATCTTTGAATACAAACCTAAATTTATGGCGTTTTATCATATTAGAAAAAAATCGATTTTCTCAACAATTAAACATTATTTTGTTTTCTTAATTATATGACGAGTAAAACTAAAATTTTGAAGTTACAGAGATTTGTATCCAATCATGACGAAATTTCGAATTGCCGACATTTTATTTTTTTTGTTTTTTAATATCTCTTAATTAGGTATAATATTCGTCGACGTATTGGATCATTTTGTTGTATAATGGGTCGTCATTCAGGAAATTATTTAGCAATGACATATGTATTTGTTAAATTACTTTATATAGCTAATGCTATTGGTCAAATATTTCTTTTGAATATATTTATGGGTCGTGGATTTCATTTTATTGGTATTGAAACAATAAAACGTTGGTTAAATGGACAAGATATGGCTGTTGTTGAACGTTTTCCACGAATAACAATGTGTAAATTTTCTATTCGAGCACTTGGTGATAATATTCAACCATTTGATGTTCAATGTCTTTTACCAATTAATATTTATAATGAAAAAGTACAGATTTTCTTTTGCTGATAAAATAAAATTCGTTTTTTTATTTAGATTTTCTTATTCATTTGGTTTTGGCTTGTTTTTGTTGCTTGTGCATCAATTTATGGTCTTATTAAATGGTTTTATTATTTTACATTAGATGCACGAACAAATTTTATTCAAAGATTTTTACAAGCAAATGAAATTCGTTATTATAAATCATCAACACCATCATCATTATCAACAACTGGTATAACTTCAAATAGTGATCATGATGATCAAGTACCAATGAAACGTTTAGAAGATTTTGTTAATAATTATTGTCGTCAAGATGGTCTTTTATTATTACGTATTATTAAAAAAAATACAAATAATGTTATTGCTGGTGAAGTTATTTGTGCTTTATGGGATAATTGGAAAGTTATGCCACAAATTCGTTTTAATGCATCATTAGAATCAGATCATTGTGAACAAATGATGAGTTTAGGTATGAAAAGTCCATTAAAACAACGTGATGTAGGTGACGTTAATGAAAAATTATTACCAACAATGTGAAAATATATTATTATGAATTTATTGAAAATCTTATAAAGAACTTTTAAAAGAGGATGATAACTTTGTTTCTTTTGTTTTTTTTTCTTTTCTTCTTCTTCTTCTTCTTCTTGTATACATACAGAACTTGATAGTTAGTTGTATGAATTATTCTTATCATTGTTGTGTATTTCTTTCTATATGTGTAGTGAATTAATAAAATTTTTGTAAAACTAAAATATTCCAATTGTTGTTTGTTTAGAATTAAAATTTACTAAATGCTATGAAATTCGATTTTTGTGATAGATGATGATTTACGATCGTAGACTGTATGTCGATAGCATCTCGCTATATTATATGTACTACTTCCTTATTGCATTTTTGAAGGATTAAGTACAATCGGTGATAAAGAAATGTGTTTTAAAATAAATAGAATAAAACGATCTCTCTATGTTTACGAGGAAACTACCCCAAGTGATATCCACTGTCTGAGCTCATAATGGACTCATAGGCAGGTCTTAGTGAAGTTAGAAAACGCCTAAAAGGATTAGTTCTAATCGGTCTTCGGTGCTGAGTTATGATCGATTTACTAGATTTTTGAACTATTTTTAGGTATTCTTCCGTAGCTCGAATAATGGAATTTCGATCCAAAATTTTGTTTATAGATAGGTCTAATAACTCTTAGAATATTTTGATTGAAAAGAATGTTCCTTCGTCGAATTATTGAATTTTCAAGTGAACTCGATTTTTATGACAAAGGACCACAGCTTAGATCGAAATTCCATCATTTGATTTTCCGAAACATTCGAACTGGATAAAAAAAAATGCTGGTCAGCGATTGGTAGATCGTTTGATATAATATGCAGTATATCAGTGGCATTGCTAACAAATGTATGAACTGATTGGAAAGAGTCATAGTCATCTTGACATCTTATTGTCAAGTATTGCTTCTGTGGAACCTATTCTAATCTTATTGATTGAAAATCACTTCAACAATATTTACAATGCTAATATTAAAGGCGTATTGTTCACTGTACAGAAAGCTCTTCCTATTTTGAATAGGCAAATCTTGCTGAAACTGTTTTCATATGTCTATCACGCAGGAAAAATTAAACACATTCATAAAGTTGATATCAAAAGAATTCTTATACTATAATATTTCAAGAAAACTCACTATGCTATTCAGTTCTGAGTTACATGAAACATACCAGAATCGATGATCCTGAACTTCAGAAATAACTAGATTTCATTGGAGCTAGTCGAAAAATTTCCGAATTTTTCCAGTGACTTTCGATCGTTTACTACCAAAAAAAAAAACAAAGTTTCCCGCCGGAACTGACTGCGTGTCTAAGCACAATATTTTATTATTCCAAGAAACAATAAAACTAGATAAGAAAAGTCAAATAAATATTTTCTCCAAAAACTTTTGCTATTTCATACTAAAATAAAGGCGTACGAGAGATCAACCACAGCATCACAATACCTAGTTCTCAGATATGACGAGTAAAGCCCACAAAGGCCTGTCCATTACCTACGAGGAAACCTCGTCAGCTACCCCTTCTGATTTTAATGGTTTTTGCCTATAGATACTATATAGTGTTCTAATAAAAATTCTAAAAGGATTTGAGTTTTGACTGAGCTATCGAGTTCTTAATACGTCTATTTTTTAGAGATCCGAAGTTTTCGGAAAAGTCATATTTTCGAATTCTGATCTGAAACTTTGCACATGTAGGGAACTCAACTAGAACAGTTTTCTTAAAAACTTCTAATTTTTTTATGGAAGTTAATCTAGTTGAGTTCTCTCTATGTGCAAAGTTTCAGATCAAAATTCAAAATCTAGAAAATAGACATATTAAAAATTCAATAGCTTAGTCCAATCTTAATATCTTTAGGGGTTTTTATGAGGAACATTATGTAGTATCTACAAGCAAAAGAAATCATTGAGATTAGAAAGAGACATCTGAGGAAGTTCCATCGTTCATCTTTCAACTATTAGCGTCATCTATTCTAATTATATTTCAATTCTATGTAAAACTAGTTTTAAATAAAACTTCTTAGCATAATGAATTTCAAACATAATACATTATTTTAATTTATTTTAGTTAATATTTCTTTCCTATGATTGGTGTATCTATGAAATACCCTTTTACCGATTTGATACGTTGGCAAATATACAGATCAATCTCACAAAATTGTATCAATTTGTCATCTATTTAGTTGATAAAAAAAAAGATGCAATTCGTTCTTAGTTTTTTAACAATTTTTTTCTTACTGATTGAATCTATAAATTCAGTCAGTTTTCATTTACCACATAATACAAGAAAATGTTTAAAAGAAGAAATTCATAAAGTAAATTTTTATTTCCAAAAAACAAAATGAATAAAAGAAAAACTTCATATTTCATTTATTTTATTTAGGATACAATGGTTACTGGTGAATATGATATAACAGATCTTCCAGGTTTATCAACACATCTTGAGGTAAAAGATACTAAAGGACATACACTTTATAATAAAGAAGGTGCTACAAAAGGAAAATTTGCATTTACAACAGAAGAATTTGATATATTCGAAATATGTTTTGAAACAAAATTACCATATGGTCAACAACCTCATTTAACAGAACGACATACAACAAAAGAAGTAACAATTCAAATAAAACATGGTATTGAAACAAAAGATTATGATGCATTAGCTAAAGCAAATAAACTTAAACCATTAGAAGTTGAATTAAGTCGTTTAGAAGATTTATCAGCTGCAATTGTATCTGATTTTGCTTATATGAAACAACGTGAAGAAGAAATGCGTGATACAAATGAATCAACAAATAATAAAGTTCTTTATTTTTCCATTTTTTCAATGTGTTGTTTAATGAGTTTAGCTATTTGGCAAGTACTTTATCTACGACGATATTTTAAAGCCAAAAAACTTATTGATTAATATTATTTTTAGTTAAGACGAACTATTTAATATTGTTTTTTTTTCTTTCTTTTCTTTTTTGTTTGTTTCATGTTCTTTTATGCATTCTAATTAAAAAAAAAAAAGAAGAACCTATTATTTCATATTAAGGTTTCGTTTTTATTTTTGATTAACTTCGTTTTTTTCTTTTTTGTTGTCTTGTAGAATAAGTTTTCTTATAATATTTCCACTTTGTTGTTTATTGTTTTGGGATCAGGATCATTTAACTAAAGATTAACAAAGTTTAGAGAAAACAAAAAAAAAAATTTTTTTCATTTTATTTTATAAAACTTGATAAATCAAAGGATTTAATTTTATGAAAGTGTTCTTACAACATAAATCAGCTAATAAAAAAGTTGTTTTTATTCTTGCGCAAATTAATCGTGTTGCTATCAAAGTATTTCTTGAAAAATTATTCAATATGAAATGTGGTTCATCCCTTCATAAAAGGTGGGAAGGAAGATAATGGGTCTTAGATCGTTCTCCTAATAATCAAGAATAAACAGGCGTCAGATTTCTTTCCAAGTGTTCTTCACAACGACAAAAAATACATTAGTGAATATTCTAAATAGTGTGATTTTTTATTTTTGCGTAGATAAAAATTTATATTGAACAGGTTAATGACGATAAGTAGCGAGGGATGGAATTGGCACAGTCGCCATATGATCAGAATAAAAAGCGTGTACTGATCAAGTTAGAACTTTGAAAAATAATCAATATTAGTATTCTTGAGCTTATCGAGATATACTGGATGTCCAGAAAGTAACAAAACAAAAAAAGGTTTGAATACATATCTTGGATATATTTTGACCAAATGGTCTGATATTTTTACTACTAATACGGGAGTATGCACAGCTCTTATTCATAAGGAGGGTGTGGGTGTTGGTGAAGAAGAGTTTTACCCACACCCTATAAAGAAAAAGAAATTAAGAATGTCTATAGATTTAGTTGAGTTATTTTTTCGTAAAATATAATAATCGAAATTGTAATGACCGTATTATCTATGTTTGATAATGTATAGGAAATTTTTTTGCACATTAACAAATAATATCGATAAACAATCCAGACGTTCATCAAGAAGACGAAGGCAATCATCAAAACTTTCTACGTTAATTTCCAATTTGGTTAAAGTTGAAGACATACAACTTGCTGATGATAACTCAAAAATACGAACAGACAATTTTCGATGAGAAAAAGAAACAACAAAAATTCAATTCGATTAATTGTTTACATGAAGACATAATCGATTTAAAAATATTTGATCGAGTTTTAGAAAATTCTATTGTTGTCTCGTTCTCAATATTGATTTTTAAGATATGTAATTTGTTGAATAGGAAGATCATGAAGAATTGAATCATCTTGAATTTAACAAAATAATAATTAATACTTTACATTTTAATCATTTTATTATTTTTGGTTAATTTACACGAACAAAGTTAAACAATATATACCTGTTAAATATTGAAAAAGCATATCGTCTTGAAATTTGATAAGTGACAACGAATAAAGTTGAGGATATTTGGCAGTATAAAGAATATGTTTTATTAACTGTGGTTCAACAGTGAGTTTATTCACTTGATCATGAATTCTAGGTAAAACTTTTTTATAGATTCTTGAAAGAACCTGATTGTCTATTGAGGAGATACGATCAAATGATGAGCTGATACTCATATCAAGATGATGAGTATAAAGAAGATCAAATACTAATCGATCGAAACGTTCATTGACATCCACAAATGAACAGAATACATTAACCCTCTTCAATTTATTGATAATGATGAGTAATATTTCATCGGGCAAATTGAGTATATTCATATGTTTGTTATTTGAAATGTTCATATTTGACTGATATTGTCTATTTGTTTCAATTTATATGTACCTCTGGAAAGCAAACGTTAGCCACTATATTTGACCTCTTTTTATACTCGAAGACGACCTATTGGGAAAAGTAATTATGCCATTCGATAGTTCTTGGAATTCTCTATCAAACTATGTATTTTGATGGTACTTTGCTTTTATCTCTTGAAAAATTAATCAAGTGGAATGAAGATATCTTCATGTCCACTT